TTTGATGGCGCAGGTGAATGATGATGGGTTAAGAAATTTTAATTTTCTTAACCTTAAACGTTTCATCCTTAAACCAGTGTTGCCAAGTTAGGGTTTTTTACTCTAGATTTAGGGATTACTTTCGAGTATAGGGAGAAATTTAGGGAGAAGATTTTTTAGGGAAAAATTTAGGATGATTTTTTTTTTCTATAGAGAATTTTTAGGTATTACATTTAAAACTATAAATTTTGCATTTACTTTGATAATTTCTTAATTTCATCACTGCTTCACTTGAAATGCAGTCAACCAGCACTATAGATTAATTACCTACCTTTGCTAGGTAATTAGTCTATGCCAACACCCAGCAATAACACATGTGATTTTAAAAACTTATGTCAGTTTGATTTTTGATGTTAAATTGTTAAAACTATAGAAATATTTAAATGTAAGTAATAAAACAAATTTTATAGTTATGTAAATAACTAATTGAAAGAATGAATATAAATTGAAACTTTTTATATGATAATTTATGTTTTGGTTTGGTTTGGTTAGAAACAATTTTTCTATTATTCAATGCCATTATGGCGACCAAAAGAAATACACACAGCCATACTGCAAAACATGGGAGAAATTAAAAGAATTAAAAGGTAAATATCAACATTTATATTTTATATTTATTTGTGCTAATTTGAAAATTTTCATTTTTAGCTTGGTTAGCTCCTGATCCAACAGGTGACCCACTGAATGCTTATTGTCATTATTTAAAATATCTTTAACTGCACACAAAAAAGATTTGCTTGCACATGCCAAAACAAGAAAGCACAGAGAAAAAATTGCATTAGAAAAAAAGCCAAATCAAGTAAAACATTGCCATTTGAGCCAGTAACAGGAACAGAAACAAAAGTGATTTAAGGCATAACTGAGGCATATTGAACACATAGCCAAGGAATATGGTTATCCTGGGATCACATGTAAATTGATCCGCAGATGGCACTGCCAAGAACTAGACCCCAACTGGGCATCCAATGAAGTTCCACCTAATATCATCCCAGTTACATACAATCCATACCTTAAATCACTATACAATATGATAGCTAAGAAAAAGAATATTCACATCGCCTATAGAAAGTGCACTACAATTTTTGATATTTTACAGAACAGAAAAGACACCCCAACAAAGAACGACTCTTGGGGGTGTACACTATCCCAATTATGGACCATAGATGGGACAAAAGCCTGGTCTACGTAGGATCCACCAAGTGCTCCCTGGAAGTGAGAATGAAAGAACACGCAGTGGATATTCTACATGTGAGGCGCACCACCACTCTAGTTATCTATGCCTCAGATCCAGAAGTAGAACCATTGTTCAATCAAGCCAAAGTGATCCTCACTATACAATACATACACCATCTTAGATGGCTAGAGCTCTTTACATCTGTATGGCTACACTCAAAGAAGATAATTGCATTAACCATAAAAATGAAATTACCCTGTCAACTGCATGGCAGGTGCTTGTAGACAAGAACTTACGATAATCTACAGCCGTTAAAGAGGTGCATGCCTGAATGATGTCATCGATCCACACGATAGAATTCTGAATGGTGTTCCAATTTGACTTTAATTTGAATTGCATTTGTTTAACAGTCATTAGTTACCTGAAGAAGAACTTCCAAGTTTGAAAATGTTCAAAACGCTCTGTTTTTCCAAGAAGCACACCTGTAACAGGCTCCCCAGTATGTTTGTTGTTTACTTTAACCCGGTGTAGTATCACTCTGATAAGATAGCCCTTCACTTTGCAATTGATAAATTTTTCTAGACACTAAATATACTCCTCAAAAGTGAAATCATAATATTATGAAAAAACATGCATGCATTTCAGGACCAGTAGAGGTTATAAAGATCAGAGCTGGCTTGGGCCATAAATGCTATCAGTGATGGTTTGTGGCAGCCAAACTTTCAAAGAAGTGTAATAAATGCCTTCAGAGATGACAGAAAGCTGAATGTCACCAATTAACAACTAGAGAATGAGAGTGGTTCATGGAGTTGCATGACATCAGTTTGTCAATGCACAAAGTTGCCATGTGTATTTGGGCACCACATAAATACCATCCAGTGATTTGTGACATGACAAATACAGAAACATCTGCAAACATGCCAAAGAGGGAGTGGATCACACCAGCAAATGACAAGAGTGCACAGACCAACAGATTTACTAAACATGCCATCAGCACCTGATCTAAAGCCACCTGTCACCATCAATGGGTGTATCTGTTTCCACTGAAATCATTTGCAACAGGTTGCATAAAGTTAGGCTGCATGCATGGCAACCAGCAAACCAGGCACCATTAATCACTTGACATCTGGCATGGCATTGCCATCATCATAACTGGATCACTGAATGGCATAGGGTATTGTTTATGGATGAATTCCACTTCTGTCTGTGGACAGGCCTGGCAGTATCCTGAGGAACACTATATGCTAGCTCTTTTTGCAAAGCATCATACCAGCCCACACCAGGCATTATGATTTGAGGAGGTATCATGTCCAATTAGTTGACAGCCTTGTTGCACATTTCCAGTATTCTGATAGCAAGCCAATACATCACATGAATTGTGGGACCTGTGGTTTGGCTGCTGGTGCAGGTTCACCCAACACAGTTTTCCAGCAAGATAATTCCCCAATCACATGTTGCACAGCAAACTTTCACCAACCTGAACAGAATCACATCCTTCCCTGGTCAGTAGCCTCACCAGATCTCTCTCCCATCAAATATCTGTGGAACATGAGGTGTATCAGGGATAACTGTGAGATATGAAAGGGTTTTTGTTAGCCCACTAAGGTAAACACCCACAAACTAAACACACAGTAGATGTTATAAAAATGCATGATATAACTATATACAGGTTCAATGAAGTATGCCAACTCTAGGACAGTTTCTCCAGCATAACCCTAAATTCAATCATCAGCTGAACAAGTATAAAATTAATAAATGACTCGCAACAAATTCAATTGCATTAATATTAATTAATACAATAAACAAGAATAATTATTACAATAATAATTTTCCTAAAACTATCCCTCAATACTAAATTTACACTAATATGGAAAATTGAAAATAAGGGGTGAGAAGTAGTAAAGATGGCAGAATAAGACAGAACAATGGTAGCAGAGTACTGTGAACATCTTTTAGTTCTCATTGTCATGATGGGCCATGTGGAACTACTTGCACAAAATTCACACTTTCTTCTTTTTCTCCTCAGTTCTTGAGCATTTTGATCACCAATCCATTAGTAAAAAAAAACACACCTTTAAAAATCCAGCAAAGAAGTTTATTAATAAAAACGTATTCAATTGGTTTAACTGATTTTCCTCAGTTACAATGAAATAGAATGCAAAAATAGATCGTAAATTTAAAAATAAACAATAACCAGAATTAAACTGATCAAAAACGTTTTTATTAGTAAATTTCTTTGCTGGATTTTTGAAGGTGTGTTTTTCTTCTTGTCTAATTATCCAGTTGATAGAAAATATATTGATATACCAATCCATCAATCACTTATATGAAACTCACAACTAAGCAAGCTGATATTGAATCCCACACTAATTTTGGAACAGGAATTTCAAAGATTCTCTCTTGAAGTTACAACTTCACCCATATACTAGGGTACCAAACAACTTCACACACCTGTCCTTGGTTCAACCACTTTCATCAAGCACCAGGTCAAAAGTGACCCTTCTTCACCTCATATGCCCTCAGGTAACCTCTCAGTCATTATACTGTTTATTCCTGGAAGTGGCCCTCACCTCCATCAAGAAATAAGAATTAAGGAGATAAAATNAAATTATTTTGTCATTTGCTATTCAATTATTAAAAATCAATAAATAATCATTTACATATCTCATTAAAGCTTTTACACTGGAAATGTTTTGTATTTTTTTGTCAGTATCTTTCATTACTAATTCAGCTAGTTTGGGCCCCATCTTTGACCCCATGCTAATGCCATCTGTTTGTCTATAGAAATTATTATATACTTCAAAATTTCTTTTATATGCAAATTCTATAAGATATAAGAATTTTTTACCGTATTGTACTATTCATTAGTACACGGAAAACTACTAGTTTTCCATTCGTTTCTGACTTTTGGAGGCTTAATAAATCCCGAGTCTGTAGACTGGTATAAAAAAGTAAAAAAAGGTAAACAGGTTAACAAAGAAAATATACTTTTNGTTTTAAAATTGATTTTTCAACATGAACAAATCTAAATATTCATCTATTTCTTCTCCTTGAAAAAATGTTATTCATAAAATCATGAAAATGTATTGTCTAATTAAGATCTAAATAGTTACCTAGATTATTTAATTAACAAGTTCTAGCATGATATTATTTATCAGGCTAGAACTATATCAGGCTTTATCATTTGATTATTATTATATTTGAAATGTAATTTAGTTATAACTGTTTTAAACTGTAATTTTAAATTATGTTAAATTTCTAAATATTCTGAGTAAAATATTGTAACTTACCTGAGGGTGTCCATTTTAAATGGATAAAATGATCATATTTGCAACCTTAAAGTTGTTAATAAACCTTACTGAAATATTGTATCTGTATTGGTGTTTGAGTGAGTTGTTTTTATTAAGTATAACCAATTTTTAGTAGAGAATATTCTGAGTATATAAAATATGAAATATGTTTTATATATTATATAAATTATTATGTTTTTTGTGCTTGTTTCACACAATAATAAGAAGCGTCAAATTTTATATTTTATAATATAAATAAATTCACTGTATGGAAACTTAATAACCTAAAGTATTTACTACAGTAAACTGATAAGTCAATAGACCATAAATGTTATATCACATAATTCTAAATATAAACATAAAATAATAAAATATATTAATCATTTAAAACTTAAAAAGTTCTTTAAATTTTATTTTAAAACTTAAAAAATTCTTTAAATTTTATTTTGTTTTTGTGTAGATTAGAATGTTGCAATAATTTATGAAAAAATTTATTTCTATATATTTACTCTTAATCCACTTAAACAAGTGCCATTGATAGCATCCTTTTTCAGATTAAAATGTGTGAAAGTAAAAGTTATCCTTCTGTTTTCTTCTACAGAAATTATCCATCGGCAATATCTTCTGAATGATAAAGCATGAGGAAAATTGGGGGAAGTAATGACACTTGTTGGTAAATCCAATTCTCCACCACATGCTGAAATATAAATTTACTATTTAAGATTATTCAATGTCAATAAATATGAATAGCTGTGTTCTTATGACAAATTTTGGTAAAAATGGATACATGATAGAAAATATTACAACTAAATTAATTATAATAAAAAATAAATATAAAAAATATTAACCCGTCGGCATGCACCTAATGCCAATTAGGCACTAATAAATTTTTAATTAGTTAGTGTAAAAATTCCAATTGTTTGAAAAATCTGAAAAAATTACTACCTGACTAATTTTTCTTTAATTTTATGATGCACAATTCAGTTTTTGCTTAAAGTGTTTCATTATTTTTATTTAATAATTGGTGTCAAATTGGCACTATAGCATGTGTGTTCTTGGATTTCAATTTTCAAATTTCCCACCAGTCACTGTTACTTAAAATAGTGCAGCAGTGGTGCAGGCACTTCTTTGCTTATAATCTCATTATTTAAAGCAAATAACTTCTAAAAAACTCAAATTTGACCCAGAAATAATTTAATTTTTTACATTCATATTTTTTAATAATTTTATAAAGTTTTATGACACCATGCCCCATATAATTTTTGTATTTTTTTAATTTTATGAATATAAAAATGCGAGCAATTGTAATATATAAATTAAAGAATTTTCATTTATTAACTGCATCGAGGCGTGTATGTTTTCAGCAGATCCATGGTGGTTTTTTATTGAATTTCTTAAAAATAAAATAGTTGAAGTGTGGGCTTTTTAGTATTTCTCAACTGATATGTTCTGAAGTGATTCCTACAGTAGTTTTCAAATTTATGACTTTTTTCAGAGAAATTTTACAAAAACCAATACCTTTTCACCACCTGCAGTAAATTCTCTCATAGCATGAGAGCACTGTACTCTTGCAATTGTTATGTGCAACAATTGCAATTTAATAAAATAACTATGTAGAATATTTAACGTTTACCACAATGCTATACATTATATCTTTTTCTCCTGGTTTCAATGGCAGAACCAATCCAAATACATTCCAAATAAGTCATTGCAGCTTTTTTTCACAATGCAATTTTCTCACTTCAGTGTTATTGCTCTGCTGTCTCGCAATCAGTTGTATGAAAAGAAATCTAATATTTTCAATTTTGAAACAATTAAAATTTTTGTTCATAAGGTAGCAATAACATTTAGTAATTGTGACCCAAACATTTATTTGGTAATTTTATATATTTTTTTAAATTATTAAATATAAAATTATAGAATTCATTACTGGCAATACTAGTTGTCAAATCTGAAACAAAACATTCCTGAGTTATTCAACCCATTTGTTAGTTATTCAACCCATTACTGACAGATAAGGGAGTTTTTGAAAACAAAGTAATAAAAAAATTAGCAGTTTATTTATTGTACTTCACAGTGAGAGCAGAGTCTATTACTTTTGCAGGAGAAAATAAACAAAACTTTACTATGCTGAATTTGAAAAATAATACAATCCTATGAAATTTAACAAATCTGATGTCACTAAGATAAAGTTGTATTTGATAAGTTTAGTCTTTTGAATTTACAGATGAAATTACAGAAAATATAAATAAAAAATCTGTTTTTTTAAACCCATGAGTATTTTATACTTTTAGATAGTAGAGAAAATGTAGAAATCGAAAATATAATCGTAGTCGAGCATATATATCAGTAAAAATAAAATTTGCATTAAAATAACACACTCTGATAAACATCTCAAATGTAAGTGTAATCGAATCGAGTCCTGCCATCTTATTGATTAACGCGCCACAGTAATTAATCGATTCTGAGCATGTCACATTGCATCAAATAAAATAATTTATAAAAATAAAAATAATAAACATGTATATAAAATAATTGACTATATATGTTTGCAATAATATTGTAAAACACACTGCACTTATAGTTTAGCATTTCTGATAATATTTAATTAATTTTTGAATTTTATTATAATTTATATATAAAAATCCAAGAAACACATAAATGTATAAACCTTAATTAAAAAAAAATATCTTCAACTTCAGACAATACAAAGATATCAGAATCCATCAAAAAAAGTTAGTTAATAATAATTAAAATCAAGAAAAAATATAAAATTTTCAAGCTAATGAAATTTCTGTCATAAAAAGTAAGGTATGCGATCATGTGATGCCTGTCTCCCCACCTTGTGTAACCAAAGCAACCAAGATTGAAATAAGAGCTTAACTCCAGTAGAAGTAAAAACATGCATTGGCACATGTCTAGGACAATAAACTTTGAACAGGAACGAAGATAAAACATGACACCTTGTAATTTATGCTAATTACTTTCTAATATTAAAAAATTAAAATCTTCAATAAATTATAATAAAATTAAGATTCTTTACTGAATTTGACTATAAACATATTGAGAAACTGAATTAAAAAAATACCGATTTTTCGAAGATAAATTTTCATTAATTAATTTTTTAAATTGGTACCAGATTGAATGTGGGTGTGCAACTTATATTTGATGGTGCAAGTGAATGATGATGGGTTAAGAAATTTTAATTTTCTTAACCCATCCTTAAACCAGTGTTGCCAAGTTAGGGTTTTTTACTCTAGATTTAGGGATTACTTTTGAGTCTAGGGGGAAATTTAGGGAGAAGACTTTTTTAGGGAAAAATTTAGGATGATTTTTTTTCTATAGAGAATTTTTAGGGATTACATTTAAAACTTAAAATTTTGCATTTACTTTGAGAATTTCTTAATTTTATCACTGCTTCACTTGAAATGGGGTCAACCAGCACTATAGATTAATTACTTACCTTCGCTAAGTAATTAGTCTATGCCAGCACCCAGAAATAACACATGTGATTTTACAAGCTTTTGTGAGTTTGATCTTTGATGTTAAATTGTTAAAACTACAGGAAATATTTAAATGTAAGTAATAAAACAAATTTTATAGTTATGTAAATAACTAATTGAAAAAATGAATATAAATTGAAACTTTTTATATGGTAATTTATGTTTTGGTTTGGCTTGGTTAGAAACAATTTTCCTATTATTCAATACCATTATGGTGACCAAAAGAAATACACATAGCCATGCTGCAAAACATGGGAGAAATTGGAAGAATTAAAAGGTAAGTATCAACAATTTATATTTTATATTTATTTGTGCTAATTTGAAAATTTTCATTTTTAGCTTGGTTAGCTCTTGATCCAACAAGTGACCCACTGAATGCTTATTGTGCATATTGTAAAATATCTTTAACTGCACACAAAAAAGGTTTGCTTGCACATGCCAAAACAAGAAAGCACAGAGAAAAAATTGCATTAGAAAAAGAGCCAAATCAAGTAAAACATTGCCATTTGAGCCAGTAACAGGAACAGAAACAAAAGTGATTTAAGGCATAACTGAGGCGTATTGAACACATAGCCAAAGAATATGGTTATCCTGGGATCACATGTAAATTGATCCGCAGATGGCACTGCCAAGAACTAGACCCCAACTGGGCATCCAATGAAGTTCCACCTAATTTCATCCCGGTTACATACAATCCATACCTTAAATCACTATACAATATGATAGCTAAGAAAAAGAATATTCACATCGCCTATAGAAAGTGCACTACAATTTTTGATATTTTACAGAAGACACCCCAACAAAGAACAACTGTTGGGGGTGTACAGTATCCCGATTATGGACCATAGATGGGACAAAAGCCTGGTCTATGTAGGATCCACCAAGTGCTCCCTGGAAGTGAGAATGAAAGAACACGCAGTGGATATTCTACAGGCGAGGCCCACCACCACTCTAGCTATCTATGCCTCAGATCCAGAAGTAGAACCATTGTTCAATCAAGCCAAAGTGATCCTCACTATACAATATGTACACCATCTTAGATGGCTAGAGGCTCTTTATATCTGTATGGCTACACTCAAAGAAGATAATTTCATTAACCATAAAGATGAAATCACCCTGTCAACTGCATGGCAGGTGCTTGTAGACAAGAACTTACGATAATTTACAGTCATTTAAGGGGCGCATGCCTGAATGATGTCATCGATCCACGCGATAGAATTCTGAATGGTGTTCCAATTTGACTTTAATTTGAATTGCATTTGTTTAACAGTCATTAGTTACCTGAAGAAGAACTTCCAAGTTTGAAAATGTTTGAAACACTCTGTTTTCCCAAGAAGCACACCGGTAACAGGCTCCCCAGTATGTTTGTTGTTTACTTTAACCCGGTGTAGTATCACTCTGATAAGATAGCCCTTCACTTTGCAATTAATAAATTTTTCTAGACACTAAATATACTCCTCAAAAGTGAAATCACAATATTATGAAAAAACATGCATGCATTGCAGGACCAGTAGAGGTGACAGAAATATCTAAATGATTAAGTTTGCATTTGAATCAGATCATTATGGTGCATAGTTTTAGGCTATAAAGATCAGAGCTGGCTTGGGCCATAAATGCTATCAGTGATGGTTTGTGGCAGCCAAACTTTCAAAGAAGTGTAATAAATGCCTTCAGAGATGACAGAAAGCTGAATGTCACCAATTAACAACTAGAGAATGAGAGTGGTTCATGGAGTTGCATGACATCAGTTTGTCAATGCACAAAGTTGCCATGTGTATTTGAGCACCACATAAATACCATCCAGTCATGTGTGACATGACAAATACAGAAACATCTGCAAACATGCCAAAGAGGGAGTGGATCACACCAGCAAATGACAAGAGTGCACAGACCAACAGATTTACTAAACATGCCATCAGCACCTGATCTGAAGCCACCTGTCACCATCAATGGGTGTATCTGTTTCCACTGAAATCATTTGCAACAGGTTGCATAAAGTTAGGTTGCATGCATGGCAACCAGCAAACCAGGCACCATTAATCACTTGACATCTGGCATGGCATTGTCATCATCATAACTGGATCACTGAATGGCATAGGGTATTGTTTATGGATGAATTCCATTTCTGTCTGTGGACAGGCCTGGCAGTATCCTGAGGAACACTATATGCTAGCTCTTTTTGCAAAGCATCATACCAGCCCACACCAGGCATTATGATTTGAGGAGGTATCAATTAGTTGACAGCCCTGTTGCACATTTCCAGTATTCTGATAGCAAGCCAATACATCACATGAATTGTGGGACCTGTGGTTTGGCTGCTGGTGCAGGTTCACCCGGAACAGTTTTCCAGCAAGACAATTCCCCAATCACATGTTGCACAGCAAACTTTCACCAACCTGAACAGAATCACATCCTTCCCTGGTCAGTAGCCTCACCAGATCTCTCTCCCATCAAATATCTGTGGGACATGAGGTGTATCAGGGATAACTGTGAGATATGAAAGGGTTTTTGTTAGCCCACTAAGGTAAACACCCACAAACTAAACACACAGTAGATGTTATAAAAATGCATGATATAACTATATACAGGTTCAATGAAGTATGCCAACTCTAGGACAGTTTCTCCAGCATAACCCTAAATTCAATCATCAGCTGAACAAGTATAAAATTAATAAATGACTCGCAACAAATTCAATTGCATTAATATTAATTAATACAATAAACAAGAATAATTATTACAATAATAATTTTCCTAAAACTATCCCTCAATACTAAATTTACACTAATATGGAAAATTGAAAATAAGGGGTGAGAAGTAGTAAAGATGGCAGAATAAGACAGAACAATGGTAGCAGAGTACTATGAACATCTTTTAGTTCTCGTTGTCATGATGGGCCATGTGGAACTACTTGCACAAAATTCACACTTTCTTCTTTTTCTCCTCGGTTCTTGAGCATTTTGATCACCAATCCATCAGTAAAAAAAACACACCTTTAAAAATCCAGCAAAGAAGTTTATTAATAAAAACGTTTTCAATTGGTTTAACTGATTTTCCTCAGTTACAATGAAATAGAATGCAAAAATAGATCGTAAGTTTAAAAATAAACGATAACCAGAATTAAACTGATCAAAAACGTTTTTATTAGTAAATTTCTTTGCTGGATTTTTGAAGGTGTGTTTTTCTTCTTGTCTAATTATCCAGTTGATAGAAAATATATTGATATACCAATCCATCAATCACTTATATGAAACTCACAACTGGGCAAGCTGATATTGAATCCCACACTAATTTTGGAACAGGAATTTCAAATATTCTCTCTTGAAGTTACAACTTCACCCATATACTAGGGTACCAAACAACTTCACACACCTGTCCTTGGTTCAACCACTTTCATCAAGCACCAGGTCTAAAGTGACCCTTCTTCACCTCATATGCCCTCAGGTAACCTCTCAGTCATTATACTGTTTATTCCTGGAAGTGGCCCTCACCTCCATCAAGAAATAAGAATTAAGGAGATAAAATAGTTCTAAAAGGGAAAATGAACAAAGAACAGGAAAAAAATGTATGAAGTATAAAAAAGCACATAAAGCACACATTTCCATAAATATAATTTTCTGTCTGTAAAACTTGATTTGTAAATTATATTTTTTATCCATAAATTTGCTAACTTAAAAATTCTTATTACACTAAATGAAATATTTGTTATTCTGATTACTTTTTTAAATAAATACATTTGCAAATATTATCAAGAATTCTATTTATATTATACAGCTTATTTTTATTAGTACAATAATAGTATAAAATAAATAATATATGACATTACCAGGTATTTCATATATTATTTATACATAGCCAAAGAATATGGTTATCCTGGGATCACATGTAAATTGATCCGCAGATGGCACTGCCAAGAACTAGACCCCAACTGGGCATCCAATGAAGTTCCACCTAATATCATCCCAGTTACNACACTAAATGAAATATTTGTTATTCTGATTACTTTTTTAAATAAATACATTTGCAAATATTATCAAGAATTCTATTTATATTATACAGCTTATTTTTATTAGTACAATAATAGTATAAAATAAATAATATATGACATTACCAGGTATTTCATTCCAAAATGATATCTTAAAACCAGTTGCAGTTGCAGTTGCATCAGTTTGAAATTTTATATATGCTTTATTACTCTGTGAGCCATGTTCAATTGAAGTATTGGACCTACCACAATAAGTACCCAAAAGATATCCTAGAAAAATTTTCAAAATTATGTTAAGTTTATTTAAAATAATCAAGACTATAAAATAAAATAAAAGACAAAACAAAAAGCATTTTTAAACTATATTATAATTTATAATATTTTTATAAATATATTTATTACTGTCTGTATTTATTTTGTATTAATCCATTTAACTTTTATGCTTTAAATCTATGAATTTTCTATAACATACAAAATGGAAAAATTTCATAAAAATACAAATAAATTTTTAAGCGAAATATTTCCAAACAAATAGCCATTCATCTGATCTCAAATCTCTTTAATTTCTTCTCTGGAAATATCTGATGTTTCATTTCTGTCAGAAGTGTTCAAGAAATATTGAACATTCTGATACTAATGAAATGGAAATCAATGTCAATAAAAAGATATAAATTACAAAAGAAAATCAAATGCTTTTTCAATATTATGAATTCAGTAATTTGTTTATATATTATTTTATTTTTGTCTAGAGTAAATGATTTATAATCCTTTTTTTCTATATGAAATATTAAAATGTACAGTAAGTCCTCAATATCATTTCATTATAATGTTGTGAAAAGATAAAAGTACCATATATTTGTAATCATTTACAATTATTGTTGTTGAATTTTTTATAAACAATAAAATTAATTCTATGAGATACAAAATAAATGCTGGAGGTTGCAAGCATGATTCAATTAGAATAATATTAACCAAATTATCAATATATATTGTTTATATCATTTAGCCTATGAAAAAATTGGTTTCGTTATACACTGTTTTGCTTAACATTCTGTTTTCTAAGAATTTATCAACAATGTTAAATGAGTACTTGCTGTATTTAAATATTCTAGTATTTTATTATTTTTTGTTAATGGTTCACCCACTTTTATTAATAATATGTCATTCTTTTATACTTGCCAGAATTATGCTTAACTTTAGTTAATGTACTAATATTTATCTATATTTTAATACAGTCAACCCACCCTATAACACTGTTGATAATTCTGTTTTATATAAATTCCATGTTGTATGAGTTACTTAGATTTTACAAATACGTGAGCCTTTCACAGCCTGGCACACAACATGGAATTCATATAAAACAGAATTATTAACAGTGTTATAGGGGGGGTTGACTTGTATTTCATTTTTGTTTTGAACATTATTGCTATTTAAATTTACTTGTGCAATAGAAACTATTCATTTGTATACATAAATATCAAAACTAGAATTGATGATAAAATCATTCATGAATATTTTCAGTTCTGATAAAATTTACCCTGTTTATTGTGCATTTGTAGTTTTCTAAAAATAAATCAGTTTTTCTTTCAGATAGTATAATAAATTTGAATCTATAGTAAATTTATAAAATATTTGAAAAAAAATTGATCTGTCATCAATTTTTCTGCGACCCCCAAATATTTTTCACGACCCACCTGGGAGTCGCGACCCCCACTTTGATATTCACTGGTTTAAGTGATTTCCAAATTTCAACCTTAATTTTCTCATTTAATTTTGAATTTTGGACCTTACTGCTTGGTACACGTTGTAGCTGTATGCCATATTTATTGTAAATATTAATTTAAGTTACTTTTAGTTTCTTTGTTCTATGTTTCTCCTTCCTTCTAGAACTTTCCTGCTTTTTGCTTAGGTGGGATGACCAGTCTCAAGAAATAAGGTGAACAAAGAAGAGAACAAGACCCTGAGGCCAAAAAAGACAACAGGCAGGACATTCTTTGCCAAGACTGGAAAGCATACAAACATGGTGTAGAGCAAGGGTGGGCAACCTTTTTTATAACATGGCCAGAATAAATTTTACGTTTTTTCCGCGGGCCATAGTAGTTAATTGACACCTTGTGACCTGTAAATTTTTAGTCTGCAAATATAAAATAAATAAATAAAAAGAAATTAATTACTACAGTCGATCCCCCTATAACACTGTTGATTATTCTGTTTTATATGAATTCCACGTTGTATGAGTCANTAAAAAAATTAGCAGTTTATTTATTGTACTTCACAGTGAGAGCAGAGTCTATTACTTTTGCAGGAGAAAATAAACAAAACTTTACTATGCTGAATTTGAAAAATAATACAATCCTATGAAATTTAACAAATCTGATGTCACTAAGATAAAGTTGTATTTGATAAGTTTAGTCTTTTGAATTTACAGATGAAATTACAGAAAATATAAATAAAAAATCTGTTTTTTTAAACCCATGAGTATTTTATACTTTTAGATAGTAGAGAAAATGTAGAAATCGAAAATATAATCGTAGTCGAGCATATATATCAGTAAAAATAAAATTTGCATTAAAATAACACACTCTGATAAACATCTCAAATGTAAGTGTAATCGAATCGAGTCCTGCCATCTTATTGATTAACGCGCCACAGTAATTAATCGATTCTGAGCATGTCACATTGCATCAAATAAAATAATTTATAAAAATTAAAATAATAAATATGTATATAAAATAATTGACTATATCTGTTTGCAATAATATTGTAAAACACACTGCACTTATAGTTTAGCGATTCAAATTATATATATATATATATTCGATTACCGAATTACCGAAAGAATAACTTAAATGTTTTTTTCTNACTATTCATTTGTATACATAAATATCAAAACTAGAATTGATGATAAAATCATTCATGAATATTTTCAGTTCTGATAAAATTTACCCTGTTTATTGTGCATTTGCAGTTTTCTAAAAATAAATCAGTTTTTCTTTCAGATAGTATAATAAATTTAAAAGTATCAAGAATAAAATGAAAATTATAGTTTTAAGAAAAAAAATAACATTAATATCAACAAGATTCAAAAAATCAACCTCATAATTACAACTGGCACACTCTCACCGAGCCACCAGTCACACTATAAATGATGGAAATTCTAAAGGGTTTAAGTGATTTCCAAATTTCAACCTTAATTTTCTCATTTAATTTTGAATTTTGGACCTTACTGCTTGGTACACGTTGTAGCTGTATGACATATTTATTGTAAATATTAATTTAAGTTACTTTTAGTTTCTTTGTTCTATGTTTCTCCTTCCTTCTAGAACTTTCCTTCATAATCCTTTTTGCTTAGGTGGAATGACCAGTTCCAAGAAATAAGGTGAACAAAGAAGAGAACAAGACCCTGAGGCCAAAAAAGACAACAGGCAAGACATTCTTTGCCAAGACTGGAAAGCATACGGACATGGTGTAGAGCACTCCAGGTCATGTTAGCAATGACCATAGATTTTAGAAAGAAGTCTAAGGAAAGGATCCTGTCTTATCGTTATGGCAATGAGGCAGTGAAAAAAAACTAAGTATAAGAAAAGAGGATAAGAACAGAATTTTATTGAAGAAGATAACAACGGACCATCTATATAAGAATCAAGTGTGGCATCCCACACAACAAATAGGCATAGTGAAATATGCTGAAAAACCCCGGGTATCCCTACTTCTACTATATATTATTTCTTATATCCTCTTAAATCTATCCTTTTNTTTATTGAAGAAGATAACAACGGACCATCTATATAAGAATCAAGTGTGGCATCCCACACAACAAATAGGCATAGTGAAATATGCTGAAAAACCCCGGGTATCCCTACTTCTACTATATATTATTTCTTATATCCTCTTAAATCTATCCTTTTTTATCATTAGTGGTAAGTTATTATATAAGGTTAGTTTTTATAATTTTGGGTTTGATCATACTGTCGTGATCGGGATATATATGCTTTGGATTTACCAAACTTTTATTTGTGCCATAATTTTCTACAATATTGTGAACTGCAGGAGGTTGGAGCGGTGAGCTCCACCCCACTTACTGGCTTCTTTATCAGGGATGGCTTCGGTTAAATGAGTGGGAGGGGTAGTGAGATCATGACGAGGTATCGGTCATACTGAAAGATGACACATTATTAAAATTAGGAATAAATCATTTAATTATTAACAAATGATATGTATACATTCAAATACCTTCAACATCAATCAAGAGAAAAATAGCAAAAATAATAACACTAAGAAATCCACATTGTGACAATAATAGACAGCCGCTGTCCATCTTTCCATGAACTTCCTACGATCTAATCTAAACTGAGAGAGAGGGAAGTAAAAATTTTCTGTCTTTACCTCGGTTGCAGTGGCGATCAGAAACTGCGAAGAACCCGAGTGGAGATTAGTAGGCTTGAAGAGTTCAGAGGTCACAGAGTACCTTCCTGGCGATCACCCCGAGGTGTGGGTGTGATCCCTTTTTATACAAGTCCCGGAGAGGAAGTATTGGGGGAAGAAAATCTAATGCAATTACCAGCTTGACTTGTGTCCAGTGGTGTTTATGTTACTTGTCAAAAACGAATGTCTCTTTAGATTTATTATCCCTTCTTTCCGTAATTTGACATCTTCTCACTGTAAATTTGTCAAACTCCCTGATTTAATGATGGGAGGTGACTAAGGTCAGAATATGTCTCACCACCTTAGTAATATTCATTGCCTTATTTGGTCATTTAGATTGACTTTCTCATCGGCTCAATTGAACTTAGAGGGGAGCACAGGAGTTTGTTTTATCCTCGTCAGTGACCTTTTGGTTACTCTCTAGACAGTAACAGGTAGGTGGTTGTCAACGTTAATTGGCTACTTAGTTGCACCTTGTATTTATGTTAAAATTGAACGATCCCCTGGTGTGAGGGGAGAACTTCTGAAGACATTTAAAGTCACATTGCTGGTCAAAAGGCTAACCCCAACAAAACTGGAGGAATAAGGGAAACAGTGATGGAAAAATAATTTTATAAGGATTTAAGCTGTTTAAAATTACCAAAAGAATTCATATTCTCACAATATCATATTGTACCATGACATTAGAATCCCTAATAAGAATCTGTATTAAAACACAAAATAAATTACTTGCAAAAACATATCATCTTATTGTTATCATATCTTGTCTACCTTTGTGGTTAACTCTAATTTCGCATGAACATCACAATGTCAATTGTTGGGGATGCACTATAACTTTACTGAGTTTGATCAAAATCAGTGACTCCAATGTCATGCCATCCCCTCATTAGTCATAAGGCAGGGTGACCGGTAGAAGTAATGCCATATTTTTAGACAACATGCATTACTTCCATTGGTCACCACATGACCAAGTCTCAGGAGACTTCTATGCAATGACCAGGATGCTGGTTCCATACTAGAGAAGTCAGGTGTATACTCTATCCCATTAGAAAAAAACAATATCTGGCATTCGCACCCACTACATAGGAGCGACAACTAGAATGTTGTCTTGCCACACCTTTGAACAGCAACATTCCATCAAGGTAGGCATGTGTGACACTGAGCTATCAAGGATGGCGTTACAATGCCAACACACCCTGCTGTGGGACCATGTGGCGATGCTCAGGTATTGTGATCAGAAGAGCCTGGTGTATGTTTGAGAGGTCCTCCTTACCATATTATTAAATCCATGTAACTCCCCCACATTTGAGTTACCTGCAATAATGGGTCAGTTTATATGAAAGACTAAAACATTGTCTCTAGCTCTGCTCACAATGCCTAATCCACACATTATGGCACATGCATGTAGCCACCATGCACACTTTAATTTAAATTCTTTACGTTTATTTATTCTAATTATAGTTTTGTTCTAAAGGACTAAGGCCATTCATTTTTAATTTGGAAAGCTTGTTCAAAATATTTATTCAAGTTTGTATCTGCCTTATAATATGTCAAAAGCATTAGCGAATAAAGCGGTATTTATATGTATTTAATGCCTTTTGTGATAGTTTCTTTTCGTGTTTAAGCAGACAACCATATTTTGTAGTTTTATAACAGTTCTAAATAATTTATTGCATCTACCATCTACCAAGCTTCCATATAAAAATTCACAAAACTTAACACCATGTTAATAAATAAACAAATAAAACAGCAAAGCCATTTTTAGGACAAGACTGTCTTGGAGACTCACTACAAGTGGGATCATTTAGTAGTGAGTCTCTAAATCATGGCAGGTCTCATTCTCAGTTTCCAATTTTCTTTGATATTGCTGGTTTTGAGTGTGATCATTCAAACTTTGCTGGGCTCGGCTGTAGCCATGACCATGAGGTCATCCACAATGTATTTTCGGTGAAATTAAACTATACAATGTCAAAATTCCTCTCTATTATATATTGCTCCAAGTTGAATTTTTATTGATGCCTAACAAAAATTTCCTGATTTTGAACAAATAATCGTGGCTATTGTATTGTCTGAAATTATTTTTTTATTTTGTACAACCAAAATAAATATATTAATACATGTAAAAACAAAAACAAATTATATTTCAGAAATTAGTTTTAACATAAAATTATAACAACTAGCGCTATTTAGTTTTAAAAATGTTCTGATGCTGAAATGAGATATCCCAGGTCAACTGTTCAAGGTCAGCAGGTCACTACCAGAGATGTGTCAGGAATAACAAGGGACAGGTACCAGTAAATGGGTTTTTTTCAAAGATTCATTTGTCAAAATTCAATTTCGCAATGTTTGCATTTACAACTTTCCAATGAACAAAGCATGCACAAATCTCACACTAGCACCTGTGTGTAGAAAGAGTGTTGCCATTTAGCATTTTATTTTGACTCGGTTCTCAGTCCCGAGTACCTACAATCTGATTTTTTTTTATGTACACATGATTTGGGCACCAAATATTCTGTGCCAAATTGCAACTCCTGACATGTACTCCTTTATACCTGTAAGGTGTCCTGCTGTTGACGGGACCACAATTTTATACACAAGACATAGTTTCATCAATAAACTAAACAATTTCTTAGTTCATGCTAAACAATTATTTTATATTTAATATCATCAAAATAAAAACATTTCATGAGAATACCTAAAAAACTGAAAATTTGAAATTAATATAATTATTACTATTTTTCTAGGTGAAGAATTCTGAATTATATTTAAGCTATATTAAAACTATATATTTTGTAAATTAAAAGATACAACTTACCTGTTGAATTTTCTTCTTTGACTTCAACAAAATCCTTATTGCATGATGTATCTGCAAGATCTAAAACATCAAAACGATATTTTAATATTCTCCATTCCCATATGTAAACATTCCATTCACAAGTTTGACTATTACTATAATTTTGTGGAAAATTTGGTGATGTTATAGAGATATTACGTCCATAAAGTAATCCTCCACATTCAGCTGTAAGAATAAGTTTTAGTATGTTAGATAAAAATTTACAATAACTAAAGATTTTATACTTTCTAAATATGATGTTTTGCATTTATGTAAGTAATTCATTCTACAAAGTTACTTATATCAAACAGATGTATAATAATTTTTACATTTGTTTTTAACAATAATTAGGATTAACCTATTATTATTTTGCTTATTAATAAAAAGTTTTGTATTTTTATGATGTCATAAAATCAAAAACATACTCAAAAATTTCAAAGATATCAAGTGTGTAATATGTGGGTGAGTCAAAAAGTAACCTTTATATGAACATGGAAAATTTTAAATCTCATTGGAAAGCTATAAATTTGAGATGTCTTTTCAAGCATGCAGATTTTGCATGTGCAGGTACACCACCTTAATGGTGTTGCCCTTATAGATATGCTCCAAAGAAGAACAGCATGCAGTTGTCTGATTTTTAATCAATGAAAATGAAAATCCAGCTGATATTTACCAGAGGATGAAACAGTAGCATGGAGATACTAGTTTAGCAGTGTCCTGCCTGTGTTAAGGTATTGGTTTTTAGGGTTAGTGAAGTGGCTAGGCTTAGTTAAGTTACTATAACACTTTAATTCATAAATTTAATAATGTTCATATGCTGAGTGTTCAAGAAGACTCACCTAGAAGGTGAGAAAAGTGGTTTGGATGTGCATATGTCCACAGAGCTTGCTTGGGACAGAAAAGTAACAGGTGAAAGTGTAAAGAAACAAGGAGAGAGACAAACATGAAAAAAAATGCTAGACATTTTGTACTCTAAGTAAAAATTGGAGGTTTCTTCAAATTTGAAGAAAAGAGGTTGAAATAAAATATTGAGGAAATGTGCTTAATTTAGCTTAGTAACCACAGTAACTAGTTCATCCTTATTTATTTATATATGTATATTTATATTTTAATATAAACTTCTTACCAGTGTGAATTTCTGCACTAAAACCAGAATGTGGATGTTCACCAGATGTAACATAACGAACAAAAATTATGTTACCAGTAGCATATACTGTTTCTGGTAAATAATTTCCACAATAAATTCCTAGAACAGGAGAATGCATTGTTCCTCCATCTCTAATCATAAGAAATTCTGTTCTATTTTCAAAATGACATCTGAAAATATTAAATTAAACTTGAATTATCATTAATTGAGAAAAGCATACCAAAAAGTTTCAGTAAAGACATTTAAGTATGAAAAACTAATAATAAAACAGCATGTATACATATTTTATAATATAAGACCATCTTTTAAATTTATTTATTTATTATCCAATACAAATGCCATTTAAAATACTCCTCCTTTTATACTCCAAAAACAGTTTGATTTCTAGAGTAACCTTGTTTTGTTTCATTACAGGCTAATAGAAACAAAATTCTTATACTTTAAGAGTTTGTTTTGAATGCTTGTATTCCTATGATAAGTGTAGAATTTGTGACTAGAATTGTTGGTTTTATTTGATTTGATTAAAGCAATGTGACACGTGGGCAATCTGCCAATGGAAGAATGCCTCCCAGGTGGTCTTTTATGGGAAACTGGCCTCTATTTAGGCATTACTGATGTATATAAAACCTGAAAAACACCACATGGCCAGCCCATTGATGAGGCACAAACCCATGACCAACTACCAGTGTTCAGTGGTTTTATCCACTCAGCCACTGGTGGGCATGAGTAGAATCAATCATATAGTTCATAAAACTATGCAAAGAGGCTATAGAGGTACTTGCATTGGTATTGGTTTTGCCACCATAAACTAGTTTTTAAACTGGTGCCCCATTGCCAAAGACCATGCCTGATAACCAGACAATTCCAGCTGCATGTTTTTTTTTTTTCAATATAGACACACACAGTGCATAATAAAAAAGAAGTGGTATAAACAGGTATATTTACTATGTGAGATTCCAAGACTATGCAAAATGGGTAATTTTCAGTTTCCAGGCCAATAAAAAATAACTAGATTGTGGAGTTAAAGATTTTATCAACATTTGACAGTACTGACTATGGATAGCTGTACTGTCACACTGAAGAGTTCTCTGTAGGAAATGGCATTACAGCTAAAATATGTTGCTTAGGAATCAAACAGGTGTCTTTTGTGTAGGCAAGTAAAATAATCTACAAGACCCATCCATGTGTATAAAAAAATTTACAAATGCATTTCTTTCTTTGAATGAAATTTCCACGATGTTACCAATCAATCCATAGATTCCATCATACAAGCACATTTGTACTGACCAAAGCTTAAGTCTAAAAGTTTGACCCTCAGCTATGTTTTAACATCAATAAAAATTCTTACAGTAAATTCAAAAGTATCATTTGAAATTTGACTCATGAATGGTACTATTACTCAGGCTTAAAGCAGTGGTTATGTGCTTGCAATTTTTTAACTAGTTAAAAAATAAGTCAAATTTCAACATCAGATATCAGATATTTGATGTTTACTGTTATTTGGGTGAAGAAATTACAGTAAATTGGATCTTTTTGTATAATAATTACAATAAGAATGAAATTGCAAAGATAAACATAATAAATTTAATAAAACAAAGTATTTTTGTCCAAATAGATAAATTCTTCACTCACATAAGACAAAATTGAAAAATTTTAAATAAATAAAATTTAAATTCAAAATATTTTAAATTGCATTGTATAGATAATGCAATTTATAATGCTTAATAAATTAATATAGTAGAGTCCTGAAAACTCAGCACTCAATAACCCAGCAGTCCGGATAACTCAGCCACACCCTGGCAGGGCAAAAAATCCCCTAGTTAATTTTCATTATAGACAGCTTTAGGCCTCAAAGTATTTTTCTGAGGTCTGTCTTATCAGGTAAATTACTGTACACTATGTATTCATTAATTTTCATTTTCATGTAGTAAAGGCTCTATGCCTTCAAAAAGTATGTACTGTACTTTCCTTTGTTTAAGAGTATTTGGGCAGTTTATTCTCTGTTATACTCTCAAGCAAACAATACATACAAGTACTGTATAGTACAGTATTTTCTGAGGAAACACTCGTACTTATTCTTTTTTAACCCCATTCCCGATAACCTGGCATTTTCACAAACTCGGACACCCTTCAATCCACATTAGGCCGAGTTTTCGGGACTCTACTGTAATAGCTGATTTATAGCCAATCGTTTAAGGTGATTGTTTGGTTGATAGATAACATGGTGTCAGATAAATTCAAAGTTGGGAAATTTTCATAAATTAGTTAAAAACTCCTCTTAATTGTTGGAGTAAAACAGAAGGACATGTTTTTGCTAAAAAAAATAATAATAGTAAAATTTATCCATTTAAAAAATTTTGCTTTACAAATAAATATACAAAAACAGTTCAACTTCTGTCTAGAATTTCAGTAATGGTGATAGAACTGTATGTGTCACACAGTCCTAATTTATGTGTCTTTCTTAACACATTTGACACATTTTGTAATGTTCTCTTTAAAACTATAGAATATTTCAATTTTTTTTTACATATAATAATTTAAGTATTTAGAATGTACAGTACAGTACATTCTATTTTTGTTTTTTGATGAGATCACTTGAAGAAAAAACTTAAATATGTCTGAAAATATGTCAAAGACTGCTAGACTAAAATTAGGCTATTTTTTTACTATTATTTTTAATTAATTTCTAAATAATTTGTTACTAGAGATCTGCCATGCAGTCCAAAATATCCTGTACACAATATCGTTAAGCCAACTGATGGTTCTATGCCTCCCCTATGGCATCAACTGACTGCAATGGGTATACCAAATGTCACACAGGTCAAAAACTTGGGAGGGTTGTGTACAGGACAAAATCACAATTGTATAAGGCATAAATCCATCTTTGTGTGATTAGAAGAAGGATAAGATGTAAATGAATGTCTTGCTGGTTATTACATTTCATGTCAACATCTATTATCAGAGTTGATGCACTCAGTTTTCTTATGCTCTACATAATTTGCATTGTTTGGCATTATTCATTTTGGGCTTTTCTGATTCCTTTTAAATTTTTCTTTCCAACAATATATGTTTCTTACAAAAAATTTTACACACCTGAACCATTTACGGTACGATCACGCAAAAAATCGGTAAACAAACATTTTTGAACCCCTTCTGGGCTCTGCTTCAGGTTCCAATCAGTTTCTATAAAGATGTTTGATATCCGTTATACGTAGAAATCCGTTCGATCATGTCGTTTAAAGCTTGAAATTTGAGTTGTAGGTTCGAATGGATTCACACAATCCAAGTCGCCCATGCACGACCAGATCGCCCGTCGGACTTTGATGGGTGAAATTAGAGCATGTTGTGAATTAATCCGGATATAGTAGCAAACTTCTCCCAGGCCATTCTCCTCCACGATTCGCCTCCTATTGAACACCTCAAATGGCTAGAGGCTATGCACATATTTATATCTTCCATTACCAACACGTGCATAAATTTTAAAGAGGAAATGCTGTTATCGATGGCCTGGCAGGAGTTAATTCACAACACGCTCTAATTTCACCCATCAAAGTCCGATGGGCGATCTGGTCGCACATGCGCAACTTGGATTGTGTGAATCCATTCGAACCTACAACTCAAATTTCAAGCTTTAAACGACATGATCGAACGAATTTCTACATATAACAAATTTCGAACGTCTTTATAGAAACTGATTGGAACCTGAATCAGAGCCCAGAAGGAGTTCGAAAACGTTTGTTTACCGATTTTTTGCGTGATCGCACCGTAAATGGTTCAGGTGTGTAAAATTTTTTGTCAATCCGGTGTGATAAATAGTGAATTTATTTTGTATTGATTAGTAATGCCAGCTAAAATATACCGCAGTACGGTCGTGGCCCTAACTAAGGCCAGAGCCCGTCTTCAGTTTCTCTTAGACTGCAAAAAGAATGGTATCTTTCCCATGTCGTTTTTCCGGATCCACTTCCCACCCAGAAGTGAACCTCTCCTTGGTAGGGTGAGGATGTTGTGCTTGAACAGAGCCATACGCTACACCAGGAAACAACTATATTCCAAATTATCTAAACTCGTGGAAATAGAAGAATCATTGTTCCAGATCAACCCGGAAATTCTATCAATACAGAATGCCAGGATAATCAACATACAGGAGAGGCTATCAACCAATCTAAAGAGGCATTACCGGAAGAAATTCCAGTGGATTCTACGATTCCAGGTCCCCAAGACTCGTAAACATCCGTCCTTCCCGTTTATTGTATGGGACGACTTGAACCTACCGAGCTTTGTAGTGGAAGTCCTCAAATTTGGTCCGGTGTTCACACTACCCCCTCGAAAGACTGACACGAAGAGCCTCATCCCGGATCTGGAAATCCTCTTACGGGACCTAACGGAAAGACAAAAGGAGTACTATCGCTGGATGGCCATTCTGAAGATCAGAAATTCTAAGGAGTCTTCAAAGCTTGTGGATCTGAGAAACAAACTTCGACGTACAGTCAGATGGATGAAACTAAATAACATCACTCTTGTCAGGGCGGATAAAACCAATACCACGGTTCTCATGAAACGGGACACCTATGAAAGGAGCCTACAGGAATACATTTCACTCACCCAATGCGAGAGAGTGGAGGAAAGTTTTATCGACAAGCTTCATTCCAGGGTCAAGTGTTTCACTTGCACCAATCTAGCTAAACGCTTAGAGCTTGTTAACGTGGCCGTTGACTCCCCCGACGTCCCGAAATTGTTCGCCTTTGCGAAGACTCATAAAACAGGCCAACAGCTCCGCCCGGTAGTCGATAAAGCTAGGGCGCCTACTCGTAAGCTGGAGAAAGCCATCCACACCCTTCTTACTCCACACTTGGAAGATTACCCGTATACCATCTCTAGCTCTATGGAGCTTATAGCACAGTTGAGAAATGTCACTTCACCCTGTTACTTCACCGTGTTGGACTTTAAATCTCTCTACCCCTCCATTGAGCTCCCTCCAGCATTCTGTACACTCAGAGACATCCTATTTCGTATTGTCGGGGACCGAACTTTACACAACCAAGTGCTAGAAATGGTGCACCTAATTTGCTATAATTCAGTATTCCAATTTAATGGCAAGATCTACACACAGAGTAAAGGGGTCCCCATGGGCAGCCCGGTCTCTGGGGACCTATGTGAAATGGTGGTACGGCAATTGGAAAACAAGGTCCTCTTTCAATACCTCCACAACATCCAATTATATAGGAGGTATATAGATGACATCATCATTATCTGGAAAACAACACCAGATGTTACAACATTTGTCAATTCTTTCAACAATAATCCGTATGGGTTGACTCTGGAATTAGAGCAATCTAACCCATCAGAAGTACACTTTCTGGATATAAGCATTAAGGTCGATACCTCGGGAATCAATACGTCGGTATATCATAAACCTTAATCCACATCATCATATATTCCAACCGGGTCATGTGATCCAGGCGCATACAAGACTGCAGCCTTTAGAGCATTAATCAGAAGAGCCTTTACACATTCATCTACCATCCAGGCTCGGGATACTGAACTAGCCTACATACTCCGCATTGCCGCCCAACACGGGTATCACAAACATATACATAGGCTAATACAACATCAGCAACGTATATATTCGGAGAGTGCGCAGGAATCGGACCAAGTCGAGGACGGCCGTCTGGAAGGAATAGAGCGTATCGCCATCACATACAATCTGTATCTAAAATCTCTATACGCTAAGCTTGCCAGCAAACGTCAGCTACGTCTAGCTTTTAGGAGGTGTCCCACCATCTTCAACCTCTTACGTAATGGAAAGGCAAGCTCCTAACCCCATCAGACGCCCCGGAATCTATAGCATCCCCGTGAAGGACAAAGGTGCGATAGGAACCTGACTTATATAGGCTCCACTAAACGGTCTTTGGGGGTCAGAATACAAGAGCATCTAGCCGATATCCAGCACGGAAGAACTTCCACGGCCCTTGCTACGTATGTAACCAATCCGGATATAGTAGCGAACTTCTCCCAGGCCATTCTCCTCCACGATTCACCTCCTATTGAACACCTCAAATGGCTAGAGGCTATGCACATATTTATATCCTCCACTACCAACACATGCATAAATTTTAAAGAGGAAATGCTGTTATCCATGGCCTGGCAGGAGTTAATTCACAACATGCTCTAATTCAATGGTGGGCAACCCCCAGCCCGCGGGCCAGCTACGGCCCGCAAAGAGTTTCTATCCGGCCCGCGAGATGTTTAGAAAAAATTATTAATAAATATTTTTCGATGTAATTCGTCTAGTTTAAATTGAATATTATTTTCTGAAGTGTTGCGGCAGCAATGACAGGAAAAAATAAGGGAGTCATTTCCTTATTCAAACAAAAAATGGGAGAACAGAATTTTTCTAAAGTATTTATATCTCATCGCATCATCAATCAAGAAAATCTATGTGCAAAAGCTATGCAATTAGAAAATATAATGTCTGTCTTATCCAACTACATAGTGCTGTTTTTATTGTGTTTAAAGTCACTTACATTTTACAAATAGGTGAGCCGTTCACAGCCCGGCACACGAATTTGTAAAATCTAAGTGACTCATACAACATGGAATTCATATAAAACGGAATAATCAACAGTGTTATAGGGGGGGTCGACTGTAGTAATTAATTAATTTTTATTTATTTATTTATTTATTTCATATTTGCAGACTTAAAATTTACAGGTCACAAGGTGTCAATTAACTACTATGGCCCGCAGAAAAAACGTAAAATTTATTCTGGCCCATGTTATAAAAAAGGTTGCCCACCCTTGCTCTAATTTCACCCATCAAAGTCCAACAGGCGATCTGGTCGCGCATGCGCAACTTGTATTGTGTGAATCCATTCGAACCTACAACTCAAATTTCAAGCTTTAAACGACATGATCGAACGAATTTCTACATATAACGGATTTCGAACGTCTTTATAGAAACTGATTGGAACCTGAAGCAGAGCCCAGAAGGGGTTCGAAAACGTTTGTTTACTGATTTTTTGCGTGATCGCACCGTAAATGGTTCAGGTGTGTAAAATTTTTTGTCAATCTGGTGCGATAAATAGTGAATTTATTATGTTTCTTACATTTATGTTCATATTTCTTTTGCAATTTCTTCAACATTATAAAAATTTTCTTCAGTTCACACAGTTAGCAGCTTATAACTTTACAAATTATATTTTATCAGTAATTATTGCTAAATATTGTATATCCTATCATTCTGTACAAATCAACACAAATTTCAACATTCTATCTCTTCCTGATCCAAAGTTTCACTATCCAAATGCCATTTTCAGTGTTTCCATGCAACATAACAACATTTACTCTGATAAAATTTAATAAAAATTAATAATTTGAATATAAAACAATTTCAGGAATAGATAATATATATATCTTTGACACTATAATATGATGTTTTTTAATAATAATTTTAATTATGTTCCATATCACAATTATTTTTCTTCTTCTTAAAAAAAAATCACTTTTATAAGTAATAAATTTTACAATAGAATTATAATTTAAAACAAAATTTTTATGTAAAGAATAGATAAATTCTGGCAAAATCATAAATTCATAAATTGTTCAAATTTTAAATTACTATATGATTAGACTTTTCAGACTTTTCAAATTTACTATATTTGAATCTCTTTACACTCACCCCCTTGCAATATCAAATTTTCCTTTGAAATCAAAGCGTATTCTTGTATTAGCAGGAGCTAAAACATTCCAGTCACATTCTACATTATGTGGAGCTGGATTTGGATAATTAGGTGATGAAATTTGTACTAATGGGTTTTCATCAGTGATGTATAATTGACCACCACATTGATAAGATACTTCTTCATAACGTAATTTAAACATCTGTAAAAATAATAATAAAAAATAATGATTATGTTTGCAGTAGAAGTTTGTTAATCTGGTATCTGCTAACTCAGAATACTCTTTCCCTCATTTAGTGCTCATAAAGTGAAAAGAATTAAAAAAAAATTCTAAAATGTTCAATATTCTGGCATACTAGTTTTCCATGCATGTGTACTTTTTGTGAATGATATGTGTACAGTATATATCTGTAAAATAATATTGCAATAACATGTATAACTGTATGATTTTTAGACTGATTAGAAAGTGCAGATAAATCAGAAACATACAACAGCATGTGATGGTATAAAACGTACAACAATGTCTCCAACAGTCAGATAACTTAATATATATTACTGCTAAAACTTGTCAAGAGAATAAATCTCAACATTATATTAAAAAATGTCCTTATTATCAACTCTCTTACATCTTTAATTTAATAAAATAGTCTTCTTTCTGTTTCTTTTTGTCAAAATACTTATTTTAAATTATATTATATCACTGTGACATATCTTCAGTATTATTTGTTATGGAATATTGTGTCTAATAATTATCATCTATATATCTATCTTTGTATCATAGTCAGTTATAATTTAAAAATTTTTGAAACCACATCTGGTGACCAGATATGGTTTCAAAAATGTTTAAATTACAGGTTACAAAGTAAAGACTTTGTAAGTCTTTACTTTGTAACCTGTAATTTACTTTGTAACCTGTAAGTCGAGTTCTTATTTTATTATTGTTAATATTTACGTCTTTTTTTAATTTATTATTTATATTTTTATTTCACGATACTTTGTTCTCTATATCTATTTTTGTATTTGAGTCAGTTAATATTTATAATTTTTGAAACTGCATCTGATTACATATTAAACAATGCATCACTGCACATATGGAATGTTTCATTTGTAAAAATTCTTTTGTAACTAGTTCAATGTAAAAAAAAAAAAATCTTTCAACTAATGAAGGCCCTAAAAATGGATGAAAATATTTGTGCTTCTATTAAATTTTAACATGTTGGATTAGGTATGAGTGGTGTACAATGTTTTTAATTATCTGTTCCAGCTTTTGAGAGTGTTTACATATTGTGTTCATCAGATATACAGTATTAACAGTGTTATAAAATTCTCAAGCTTGTTCTTTAATATTTCTATTTTCTTTCCATATCACACAACAATATTTTTCCCTATTTTTATATGTAATAAAAATGAAAAAATTATGATTGTGTTATGGAAGTTATTAATAATCTTGTCCTCTTAGGCAAGATTATTGACATCTACACATATTCTTGTGTTATAATATTCTTATTTCTAAATTTCTGTAAGTTTTTGGCCTATGTAATAGCCCTTTTATTCTTTAATACTCTCTAATCTTATTACATAAATTATAGAAGGTAATTCAAATTAGTTGGTCCTTCATCATTTCTAATTATATCAGATATAATGTTCATTTTTAAAAACTGTCCTTTCTCTTATCTTCACACTTATTTTAAGTATCTTATCAATCTCCATAATAACTGTTTTTCTGAATTAATGATGCACCTTTAATAGTATATTATGTTTAAACAATATCAGCATTTTTGACCTGGTTAATGGGGCCATCTTCAAACAAAGTTAATGTAATAAACAGTTTCAATAATATAATAAAAATCTTTAAGCATTAGCATTTTGAAGTGTATTTTCAACCAGATGTTATTATTGTATTATTATAACTGATTATTATATTATTAAATTATATATGAGCACATAGAGTATTAAAAAATAAAATTCTACTTACTGGAGTTACTTGAAGCCTTGAAAATGACTCTCTACTAACAAGTGTAATGTAAACTTGATTTGAAGAACTTTCAGGAATATCTGGAATATCTGAATGGCAAATCTTTCCATTACCAAGTATAGGAGAGTCTGAACTACCACCATTTCTTATCTAATAAAAATAACAATGCATATAAATATATCAATTACAAATATAATAAAAAGTTTCAATAAGTTTTCCTTTAAAATCTTATCACAGGGCTCTTCATAAATTATTTAATGTACTGTAGATAAAGGTGAATTAGATATGAAAGTAATAATTATTATGTGTTACAAGAGGGTGGGAGATATTTACCAAATTGTTACATAATCTATAGTCTTAACCTATGAGTAACAGAATGATTCATTTTTGTTTCTGAAGCGTTGCATGGCAAATCATACTGTTTATGTCAATGATTTTTGTGTTCTGTAAGTAGTTAATAAAATAATGTAATGCTCAATATTCCCATGCTATATGTATTACTTCTTGGTACAATTAAGAAGATTGATAAAGGCTATGCATTACATTATTTTGGGTAGTGGCTATGTGCAACAGCATTATAGAATATTACAGGGAGTGTAATGGTTATTGAAAAGTATAAAAATAGCATTGTGTAATTTATGAATAATCCCCATCTCTTAAGTTAATAAAAAGTTTAAAAGTTATTGATATCAATTTAAGCTATGATAATAATAGATCAATCAGCAAATTTATGCAATATAAATTCTGAAGTGTTATTGGTATAAATAATAACAAGTATTATTATTATTAATAATAAGTATTATTTTTATTTATTTTTTGTAGCATTTTCATTTGATACATTTCAAGTTTGTACAGTGAAGACACTGCCAATTGGTCGACTGCCAGGTCATGTGACAGGTGACATTTCCGTGATGGCGGGAGGTATAAAAGTGAAGGTTCAACCTGTCAGAGGCACTTTTTTCTTCTTCACCTTCGTGCTCCTTGAACGTTAGCCCTTGGAAGGACTTTGAGATGAAATAAGTGAGTGTGAAGTCACATGGAGTTTCAGTTAGTTGTTATACAAAAAAGGTAATCTGATTCCATTGACAAGAGACTGTAGGTAGATTGGCATGGAGGATAATAAGGTGAATATGAATAGATGCGCATTAACGGAACCTAACGTGACTATTATTATTTTAAATTATATGGTTTTAAATTTTTAAAGCACATGAGTTTGAATAGAGGGGTTGAAAGGAAGAGAATCACCAGAAGAGAAAAGCCCCAGAATCAGTGCCAAGAGGAGTATTCCTACATGTGGTATAAGTAGTGTAAACGTGGTACATGTATATAAGCATCATTGAGGGTGCAATTAATGTTTATATTGGAGTCACCTCAACCAACTGTTAGTCAATTAAGCACAGAAATGAAGTGGTGTCGGTTATAGTGTTAATTCTTTATGTTTCTCTTTATAGTTATTAAACATGTTTGTCAACATTCTCGTTATAATTTTGTAAAGTCCTCAGTTTATTTCCCATTATGTAAGCTCAATATATTCCGATATATCCAAAATACTACACAGTAAATCTATATGCACGCATTAACTTTCTATAATAATGGGATCCAAAATTGGTTGTACACAGAAATAAATGCTTGAATAACAAAGCAGATTATGTGAAACATTAGAAGACCAATGTACCGTGTTCATATTTCAAACTGTTTCTGTTCATTGTATACTTCAAATAAAAATCTTTTTGATCATGCTTAATTGATATATAAGTATTTCAAAATAAATTTATATATTTGACTTGTGAAAATTTTTAATAAATTCAAGTGATAAATATCAACATTCAATTTAAAATTCCTTACATTTATTAATTAATTTGCAATTTTAATTTTAACTAAATATAATTTAATAAATAACATTTAAAACATTTACCAGAATATACTGTGTGCTACATAAATCATCATCTGGAATATTCAATTGTTCAAATGTAATCTTAATAGTATGACCATTTTGAACAGTGATTGTCCAATTGCATGGAGGTCTTCCATACTGTGGATATGCATCAGATATATTTAATATTCCTCTGGAAGCAAATATATTTCCCCCACATTCTAAAATGATAATTTAAAAAATAATATTGAGTAAATGTTTTCAAAAACAAAAATTTTCTAAAAAGTTTTCTTTAAAACAGATATTAAAAATTTAAATATAATGATAATATAAAATTTATATTTACATATATTTTCATATATTTACATATAAATGTTATAGAAAAGTTTCAAATGTAAAGAACATTAGAATAAATATAAACAAATATCAGGTCAGTCCATAAGTTCATGTGTATTTTTATCTACAAAAAAAGCAACAAAAAATTTTAATTAAATTTTATTTCAATCTATAATGTATTCACCATTATTTTCTACAATTTCTTGCTATCTTGATGGTAGCTATTTAATCCCGTCTTTGTAAAATGATTTCAGTTTTGAATCAAAATATTCAGAAATAGCCTTTTTTACATTGTTCTCATCCTCAAAAGTTTTCCCTTTTAAAAAATTCTGCAAACTCTGAAAAATATGATAATCACTGGGAGCAATATCTGGCAAATATGGTGGATGAGGTAAAATTTCCTAGTTGAAGCTTTTGAATTGAGCAGTTGACATTGTTGTCGGTTAGCTATTGAGAGTTCATGTGGTATCCATTTTCCTAGCTTTGAAACTTTTCCGATTTGTTGTAGATGTCTATGAACAGTTCCATGGGATGAATTTAAACGTTCCGCAATTTCATCAACTGTTAAAGATGGTTCTGCTTCAACTAGTG